GTGAAATCCTGGCCCCACTAAAGTCAGTGAGAACTTTGCCACTGACTTCAATGGAACCAGATTTCACACAGACTTTTAAAATCCTTATTTATGTCCCAGTCCTCCAAACATCTATACATGAGTAACTTGACACACAAGTAGTCCCACTGAAAATGTCTTGGTATTTTATTTAATCTTTTAGAATAGTGTAATTTCTTGAAATTTCAGAGTTTTCTGCTTGAAATTAGGACTATTTCAGATGCAAGTGCCTGTAGTCTTTTTTTTAATATATACTGAAAAATTCAAATATTTCCAAATTCCAAGTTTCTAAATCTACTTTGAACGTACATTAATTTTGGAATCAAAATGGGCAATTTTGAATTGTACGTTTTTACATGTGAAAGTGGTCACTTGTACAAACTTTGTATCATCTCTGGAGTGTGAAGTGGTCCAAAACTAAATGCTGAAATAGTCAAAACTGTATTGTCACTTTAGCACAGCTATTCTCATAACGAGATTATAAATCACATACAAAGATCAGATGCATATGATGATCTTTTTGTCTAGAAAACAAACTGAGGGAGGTCACTCTCATGGTTGCCTCAACAGAGGCCTGTAAAGTCCAGATCTTCAGGCATCCTGCTGTCTCTAGACTCCATCTTACAGCTGTGACAGGTTTGGCCGCAGAGATCACCTTAGGACTGTCACCTGATGTGCTGAAATTACCTTTGAGCCAGTTTTCCCTGCCAGTTTGGGACTCCAGAACTCCTTGTTGAGCCAGACATGCCAGCCTGCTGCAACACAGACCCAGGGTCTGGGCCATGCTCCCGAAGTTGCAGACTTAATTAAAAACAGCTCAGCAGGTTACCTGTCTCCAGCACCCAGACCCCAATGGGATCCAAACCCTAAATAAATCCATTTTACTCTGTATAAAGCTTATACAGGGTAAATTTGTAAATTGTTCGCCCTCTATAACACTGATAGACAGATATGCACAGCTGTTTGCTCCCCCAGGTATTAATAACTTTCTCTGGGTTTGTTAATAAACAAAAGTGATTTTATAAAGTATAAAAAGTAGGATTTAAGTGGTTTCAAGTAATAACAGCCAGAACAAAGTAAGTCACAAAGCAAAATAAAACAAAAACACGCAAGTCTAAGCCTAGTAAATTAAGAAGCTGATTACAGGTAATATCTCACCCTCAAAGATGCTCCAATAAGCTTCTTTCACAGTCTAGACTCCTTCCTAGTCTGGGCCCAATCCTTTCCCCTGGTCCAGTCTTTGTTAAATCCAGCAGACATCTCAGGTGGTAAGCAGAGATTCTGTCATGACTGGCAGCCCTCTTTGTCCAGCTCCACCCCGTTTTATAGCTTTGGCATAAGACGGGAATCTTTTGTTTGTGCTTGTCCCCACCCCCACCTCATCAATGGAAAAGTACAAAGATTAAGCTGGATTCCAATATCATGTGACATGGTCATATGTCACTGTAAGACCCCTAGTCTCCATTCTTCCTGAGTTGGCCCACATGCACACAGGAAGGCTTGCAGGTAAATAAACCATTTACAACCAATTGTCCTAGACAATGGGAGCCATCAAGATTCTAAACCACCATTAATGGCCCACACTTTGCATAATTGCAATAGGACCTCTGAGTTATAGTTCATATTTCTAGCTTCAGATACAAGAATGATACATGCGTACAAAATAGGAGGAATATATTCAGTAGTTTATAACCTGTTACGATACTTTAAAGAGGCCTTTTGCATAAAGCAATTCCAGTTACATCATATTCACACTCATAAGCATATTTCCATAAAACAGATGGTGTGCAACGTCACAACGGCTTCTGACAGTCTCAACTAGTGTGCATAGGCATGAAGACTTGACTTTTCTAAAGAGACTGAACACCCTTTAATATTGTACTGCTGCATGAAGCTTAGCTACCTCAAGGACTACTTCAGCAATTGAGCATGAAAAGGAATTATGGGTTGTTCAAGGCTTTTTTTTTTTTTTTTAAAAGGGTAGTGATGCTGTAATAAATTACCATTTTTATAGTGCATTACTTATGAACCACATAGGGAGAAATGGGCTATTAATATATTAACCATTCACCTCAAAAGATAATTATTTGCATGTGCAATAGCTACTTATCAAAGTATTTTCTTAAACAATTGGATATTAGTGGTTTTAGACTGGAATTAATCCTGTTCTGATCTATTTTTCTTGTATGTATTGTAATACAAAACAGGCCAGATTCTGCACGGATTTAAATCTACAGGATTGCCCAAATAGTAAGTCAGCACAGAATGTGCCATAATAAGTATTGCAATTAAATGCATAAAAGGCAGATGATGGTTTTGATTTTGATTTTTATTGTGCATGTAACCACAGAATCACCAACCATTATATATAAGGATGAAAAGAGAATGCAGAGACCTTTGTGTTAATTGATTTGTTCATTTTATCATTTAACGCTCACAGAAGGTGCTGTTATGAGGTTGAAGTTGTCTATTTATTCCACAGCAGGTAAAACATGCAGGATAAAATCTTCAAGAGCACTTAAGTGACTTAAATTCCTAAGTCCCACTGAGTTTCAATCAGATTTAAGCTTCTAAGTGCCTACGACACTTATGAAAACTGGACAGGCACGTAAGTAATTTAGGTGCATTTGAAAACTCTACCTGCCTCAATCCTGACTTGGAGAAACCACTTATAGGTTAAGAGGGGAGTTCATTCTCGGTGGCCACTGTGTCCTTGGCCTTTCTGATGAAAGTGCCTACAAAGGGATAAATTAGTTCCAACTCTGGTGGGGAATAAAGTATTAGTGAAAACTTTCCAAGAGGATATAAAATGGGTCATGACAGAGATGATGTAAAACACAGATTTGTACAAGTGAATTAAATTATGCATTGTAATTTAAGGATTTTTCACATTCATTTGAATGAAAGCAGTTGTAGATACATTGACCACAGTCGTTCAGACAAACTGTATGCTGCAGTATAAATGACAACTCACCAGTCATAGACCAAGGATCTCCAGTCACAGAATGAGGCTCTTCCAACAAATGTCCCTAGGGTGTCCTTGTGAAAATCAGCCAGAGAACCACCAATCAAAATAAAAAAGCCAGCAACAAAACATGTGGTTCTTGTGGGTGTGGAGCCCTCACTCATCTTGAGCCACTTTCAGATGGCATCATTATGTGGTTGTCACAATGCATAGCTAAGTAAGTGCTACAGAAATGGATGTGCTTCTCAGTCAGATTTTGTGCGCTGCCACTGTTATGTAAAACTGAAGAGTCATTGATTAATACGGAGACTTTTCTGTGAACATCTGTTGAGTAGAAACAGAAGCTTTTTGTTTGGCCGAGGGGTCCTCAACTTTTTCGTACTGTGCGCTATAGTTTAATACAGATTGTCTTGCCCTTCCCTTTCATTCATGACCCCATGGATCACCTCTCCTTCAATTCATGATCACATATCAACTACAGCACTTGCTCAAAGGGGAAAGTAATGCTAGGGAAGCATTCAATATATCTGCCATCTTTTAAATTTATTTTAGTAGTAGGAAATAAAGGAGAAACCAACACCATGTGATCTGCCAGCTCTCTGAAAACCTCCAGCAAGTGCTTCACAGACCACAATTTGAGAACCACTGGTCTAGTGCATGGCTACAACAGCTTTCTCCCTGCATCCACTTCTGTCATTAGACTTGGCATATAAAGCAATACAGATAAACTAACTTCTGTAGGAAAACTATATTGGTATTCACAAGTACGAAAAACATTGTACTGAACTGGGTAGGATGTACATGTGCTGAGTAGAATCAGAACAGTTCAACTATACATCATCTCTTTCTCTTTGGCTGAGGCCAGATCAGTCCTCTTCTGCTTATATGACCTGAAGCAACCCAATTCAGGCTAAATGCATTAGGGGGCACAGGACTGGGGAAAATACTACCTCTGCTTCCATTTTCCCCATGTCTTCACTGGGAAGCTACAAAAGAGACCTTATATAGGTTCACCACAGAAATTGGGATCATGATGTCTGGGTGCAGGAAGATGTATGGAGTTAGGAATCAGCCACTTTCTGTGGCACTGTTCCCCAGCTTGTTCCGAATGTATCCCATTAGGAATCGATGCTGCTTCCTAGACCATAGATGCTATGGTGATGGGCACAATATAAGAACACAGAGACACACTCCTGTATTGGCAGCTACTGCACAACTGCAGGACGACTTAGCGAAGGGCATCACATTTCCCCTGCTGAAGTCATGCTGCTAGGGGAAAGCAGCACCCTCCTTAGCTATTTCCTGTTGCCATGCATCTCTTCCCTGCTGAACCCCACTCTATTCCCCACAAGGGCTTTCCCAGCTGCATGGATGATTTCTTAAATAATCCATCTTGCTGAGTTTCCTACCCTCTACCCTCATATCACAGGTTTTTCTGAAAGAAAGGATCTTCTAGCTCCATAGCATTTCATTTATTCTCTCCCTCTGCTATTCCTTCTGAACTCTAGATGTTTTAGGATACATTTTGTATGAAAGACACTAAAATGATGCTATATTGTATTTTCCATTAACAGACCATTTATTCTTCTAGATCTAAATGAAATTAAAGAAACTGAAGGGTTTTATCCCCCTACTTTTAAAAGTCACATATTAATACCAATAAAATCCAACCTATTTATAGAGTATCTTTCTAAGCACTGGATGTTTTAAGCACCTTACAGTTCTATGCTGAAGCCCTTCTTAGCTTGAATATAGTAAATAACTTGGGTATAAAGTCAAATACTCCATTTTAAATATTAGCAGCTGGTCACACCAGCATATGTCCACTTGATTATGGATTATTCTCATGTGGCACAAATAGCAAGAACTGTAGAATTTAAAAGTGAAAGCTCCAAATTAATCTTTAAATGCTTTAACCAAATATCAAGGCTTTTTCTGCAAGAGTCTAAATAAAATCTTTATCTGTGCTTAGAGGCTCATGCAAATGTATTCAAAATGTACTCTCTGGATCTCTTACCATGGCAGATTGGAAGCTGCTAAAACAAATACAAGATCATCTGATCGGGCCAAGCCATCCATCTGCACCAATAATTCTGTTTTCATCCGCCGACTTCCTTCGTGTTCACCGCTATCAAGATTCAGAGAAATGTTGTTTGCTCAGTGCTTTAATGCAATCACCTTTATTAAGACACAGCAGCTGACCCATAGTCACAGTTTTGTCCCAGTTCAAAGCATGATTAAGTACTCTTAGCTAACATCCAAGCATTAAGTCAGGCTTCCTGATGATTACTTAAAAGTACTCATTTCAGTGCATTACCCTGGAGTAAATCCACTATTAATGAAGTAAAAGAAAAATATATATTTTGTTTTATCTTTGCATAAAGATTAATACAAAATAATGAGTAAATACCACAGTTGGTATTTAGAGGGAAATGTTGCTAAGCCTTGGGTTAGCATTATGTAGGAGAACTTACAGAGGTAAAGGTTGCAGTTAACATACTAACATTGTTGATGTATTCAGTGCAACTAGTATAAAGCGGAAGAGTTTGTGAGAGAATTTAAATGGGCACAGAAAGACATTTACTACTGAATTTAATACACTTCATGTCTTTTTTGTCTGCTCCCAAGAAAACAGACCATGAAGAACTGAAACAGTAAAAGCCAAAAATTCTTCTTTCTTTGAGACAGAGGATTAGGAATCCCACCTAAGAAAAGATGAGGTTTAAGGGCTTGTTCCTGCAATGTGCTAAGAACTCTGGCCTCAATACAGTCAAACATTTTAGCAAGTGCTTAAGTGCTTTGCTGGATTGAGGCCTCTGATCCAAAGTGCTAAGCACCTTGCAAGATCAAGCCCTAAGAAAGCCTAGCGTGTATGCTCTGCAGTTCAGGTCTTATTTCTGTAAAGTGTCATCTTGACATATTGTGCTGTATCAATATTTAATAAAATAACCTCATTCTTGGATATGTATCCCACTTTGATCTACCACTCACTGGAGTCAGGGAGAGTTATAAAAAAGTATGAGTGCAAAAGCTGGCCTATACTTTATAGCCACTAATTGGCAGTGATTTTACAAGTTGCATCTTTATAATACAGTGTGCTGTATACATTCTTTATGAGCACATATAAACACCTGGACATGGTATGCAAAGCATATAGAAACCTCTGTAAAGGGCACCCTATGCATATGCTGTAATAAAAACAACATCTATAAATCGTTTTTGCCCCCAATCCCATCAGTTTTCTCAAACTTTAACTGTGTGTTGTCATGGATGGCAGTATTAATGTTGCTTCATTCTTGCTGCTACAAACCCCGTCCATGCTTTAGTAATTTCTTTACACAGTGATGCAACTGCCTCCCTCTCTGTCCTTACTGTCTCTCACCCTGTCACCCCCAACTAGTCCATCCAAAAGGTTGCAGTCAAAGGTCATCTTCTTATTCTCCTCTGTGAATCCCTTCACTGTTTCCTCCAGTCCAGTTCTTATTTTAAAAGATATTCATAACTGTATTCTTGTACCCCTCTCCCACTCATATTCTTCCTAGGCCAACATATCCCAGTTAATCCCACGCTGCTCATCATGTGTTCTTCTGTACCACCCCTTATTCGGATATCTATGAATTTATAGTGGATTATTGTTGGAATTATTCAGGCATGAGCCTTGCAGGTTAAAAATGGGCTTAAAGAAAATTATTTTAAAAAAATTAAATCTAAAACAAAATGATTACAGTTAAAATACAACTCAAAATAGTTATTCTGTCAATAGGATCTAAATTATAGGTCTTTCTATGTGCCCAATCATGCTTCTATTGAAGTTCACAGAGTAGGTGCAGGCCTTATTTGAACTAATGGTAACAGGGTCAATGCACTAGTAAGTGTTGATCTTTAAAAGAATTATTTTGAAGCTATCGCCAGCTAAATCGTCAATTACCCAGGATGATTGCCTCTCTGACTCATTACTGACTCCAGCTCGTCCAAGAAAATTGTGGAGGGAGCATGATATCGGGCAAGTTCGAATAACACCTGTTCAAAGAAAAGAATCCACAAAACAGAATTAACAATTGCGGCAAGCAAAAAGGTGATAAGGGCCATTGATACAAAAGCTAAATAATGATACAAATTAGCGCACACATCACAAAAACCTTTTTTGGGGGAAGAATGGAATAAATGTTCTGACTTGGTAGAGGATCCCAGAGTCCTTCCTTAATTCTGAAAGGTTTATAAAAGGAGAGATCAAGAACACACACACACAATCCTGTCTTTACATTTAAATCTTTCCGTGTACTTGGCTAGGATTTAGAGGGAGAATAATGGGATATAAGAAAAGGATTCCATCGAAGGATTCTGGGGAAATCCTAAATTGTTACTAGAAATTAAATATTTTTCTTCTTTTATTGCTGCTCCATTTGTTTTTCCCCCCTCAAATCCTTATTTTAAAAAAACAAATAAAAAAAATTCCAGTGATAAAAAAAAACAAAAAACACAATATTCTCTTAATCAGAATAAATTCTTATTTTTCCTGAGGAGAACATTATTCTAATCAACAGAATGTTTTTGGTTTCTTTCACGGGAATTTTTGTGATTTTTTTTAAAAATAAGAATTTGAGAAAAAACAAATGGAGCAACAATAAAAGAAGAAAAATATGTGCCTGTCCCTAATACTCAATTTCTTGTCGAAATCCTAAATTGCTATAATTAATCTGCCTCTGCATTTACTGCTTTTGTTACCCCATGACTGTGTTAGGTCTACTGGCAAATAAAAGTCCCTACAATCTTTAGCCTAAATTAAAGTGCCACAAGCAACTGTAGTGATGGCTGTGATACTTCCCAGGGGTACCCGGAGTTGTAAGGCACCTAGCTACGACATGCCCTTAGCATGAGGAAGTTTTGTCTGTGCCTGCTATGGATCAGCATGACTCCATCATCCTCTGGAAACATGAGCACTACCTTTCAGGCCTCCCTCTCCACATGCAGGTTAGCGAAAGGCACACACAAACTGCCCCCAGTCCTCCGAGCATCCCTCTGGAGTCACCAGTCCCTGATCTACTGAACAGTCACTAAGGTCTGAGATTCTCTGTTCCCAAAGAAACAGCACACCAGCTTATTAGATTCCTCGAAGGATCACCACTCCGTTTAACATACAGTATTTAGATATATTTTATATATATATATATATATATATTATATATATAAATATATATATATTTATAGTGAAAACAAGAATACGTTTATCATCAAAGAACAGAGATTCAAGTGATAGAGTGAGAATATTGGAAACAAATGGTTACATATAAAACATAAGAACCGTCACACTGGGTCAGACCAATGGTCCATCTAGCCAGTATCCTGTCTTCTGACAGTGGACAATGCAGGTGCTTCAGAGGGAATGAACAGAACAGGTAATCATCAAGTGATCCATTCCCTGTTGCCCATTCCCAGCTTCTGGCAAACAGAGGCTGACAAAATCATAACATTCTTCTAGAGCGTAAACTAAACTCACAAGACATTCCTCAGTCTCCTATAGAAGGACTTACCCCAGTCCTTTTCCTAGCATTTTCAGACAGGAAGGCTGAGATCCCCCTTTCATAAGATCAAGGCTGCTGGCAGATTGTCTTCACAGTCTGAAGCGTGCTAAGGCACCTCTCTGCACCCCCCTGCACCTCCAGATAGACCTGACCAGACCTGGGGTTCCAAAGAGGATGGATCTAGACTGTTCTCAGATGACAGAACAAGGAGTAATGGTCTCAAGTTGCAATGGGGGAGGTTTAGGTTGGATATTAGGAAAAACTTTCACTAGGAGGGTGGTGAAGCACTGGAATGGGTTACCTAGAGAGGTGGTGGAATCGCCTTCCTTAGAGGTTTTCAAGGTCAAGCTTGACAAAGCCCTGGCTGGGATGATTTAAGCTGGGGATTGGTCCTGCTTTGAGCAGGGGGTTGGACTAGGTGACTCCCTGAGGTCCCTCCCAACCCTGATATTCTATGAAAACAGGTCGTCCCCCATTCCTGTGGTTTACCTCTTCCTGTTAGTTTCTTTCTGAAGCCTCCACAAGCTCTTTGTTAGCATTTGACTCAATAAGCTAATAAACTTCTATTTTAAGATACACAATAAGCCATGGTCCACCAGGGAGATAAGTTTTGTGTCTCGCCTCCTGTCAAAAGTTTTTCTCAAGGCATGCTACCTTAGAGCAGTGGCTCTCAACCTTTCCAGACTACTGTACCCCTTTCAAGAGTCTGATTTGTCTCGTGTACCCCAAGTTTCACCTTACTTAAAAGCTTACAAAATCAGATATAAAAATACAAAAAAGTGTCACAGCACACTATTACTGAAAATTGCTTACTTTCTCAATTATAAAGTACATCAAATTGGAATATAAATATTGTACCTGCATTTCATTATATAGTATACAGAGCAATATAAATAAATCACTTTCTATTAAATTTTAGTTTGTACTGACTTCGCTAGTGCTTTTTATCAGGGCTGTCGATTAATCACAGTTAACTCACGTGATTAACTCCAAAAAATTAAACACAATTAATCGCAGTTTTAATTGCGCTGTTAAACAATAGAATACCAATTGAAATTTATTAAATATTTTGTATGTTTTTCTACATTTTCAAATATTTGATTTCAATTTACAACACATAATACAAAGTACACAGTGCTCACTTTATATTATTTTTATGACAAATATTAGCAATGTAAAAATGATAAACAAAAGAAATAGTATCAGAGAGGTAGCTGTGTTAGTCTGGATCTGTAGAAGTGCGTATTCACATATGAAAACTTATGCTCCAATACCTCTGTTAGTCGATAAAGGTGCCACAGGACCTTTGCTGCTTTTACAAAAGAAATAGCATTTTTCAATTTACCTCATACAAGTACTGTAGTGCAATCTCTTTCATGAAAGTGCAACTTACAAATGTAGATTTTTTTGTTACATAACTGCACTCAAAAACAAAACAATGTTAAAAACTTTAGTGCCTACAAGTCCACTCAGTCCTACTTCTTGTTCAGCCAATCACTAAGACAAACAAGTTTGTTTACATTTACAGGAGATCATGCTGCCTGCTTCTTATTTACTGTGATGGGTTGGACCCCTTGGGAAGTCACCTGATGTGCTGAGATACCACTGAGTCTACCTGTTCTTCCAGCATGGACCCCCTTTAACCTGTCTTGCTGAGCCAGGCTCTTAAAACCTCCTCTAACACACACACAGGCAGGGCCACACCCAGCTGCAGATCAGCTCTGGGAAGTTTCAGTTTAAGGGACTTGCTCCAGCACTCAGACGTCCACCTCCTTTGGAGTGCAGACCCAAAGATATATTATGAAATTTGTTTCTTCCCTCAATGTGGAGGAGGGTGTACACAACTTCTCGCCCCCACCCCCCAGTTAGAAATCACATAAACTGGGTTATATTGTAAACCAGAAATAAATTTATTAACTATAACAGGTATATTTTAAGTAGTTAAGGAGGTAGCAGACAGAACAAGGCAGATTACTAAGAAAATAAAACAGAGCAGGCAAACTAAGCTTAATACACTGAAGAAACAGGTTACATGCAAGTTCTCACCTAAATGTGGTTCTAATAATCTTCACAGGCCAGATGACCTTCCAGCCTGGGTTCAGTTCTTTTCCCCCAGTTCAGGCTTAGATGTTTCCAGCAGTCATCTTGGGTGGAATAGCAGGGGAGAACTGATGACCTGGATTGCCCCATTCCCCACCCTTTAATAGGGTTTGCATAAAGCAGGAGCCCTGTGTTTCCTAGTTTGACCCCCCTTAGCTTCTTGTGGAAAAGAATTCAAGATGGATTCCAGTCTCAGGTGACATGGTTACATGCCTCTGTAGGGCCCTTGTAGCCATTCTTCACAGGCTGATCCACATGTTCACAGGAAGACTAAGCTCTTTTACAGTCCATTGTCTTTGTTGATGGGCCATCCACCCTGTCTGGCTTTTCCATTGTGGTACCTGAAGTGTTAGTAGTGGGCGTCACCCAAAGTAGCGTAGTTGAACACGGATACATAGATAATATTCCGAATTTCAGATACAGAAAATTATACATACATACAAAGAACATAAGAACGGCCATACTGGGTCAGACCAAAGGTCCATCACACCCAGTATCCTGTCCTCTGACAGTGGCCAATAGCAAGTGCCCCAAAGGGAATGAACAGACAGGTTATCATCAAGTGATCCATGCCCTGTCACCCAATCCCAACTTCTGGCAAACAGAGGCTAGAGACACCATTCCTGCCCATCCTGGCTAATCGCCATTGATGGACCTATTTTCCATGAATCTATCTACTCCCTTTTGAACCCTGTTATAGTATTGGCCTTTACAACACCCTCTGGCAAGGAGTTCCAGAGGTTGATAGTGCATTGCGTGAAAAAATACTTCGTGTTTATTTTAAACCTGCTACTTATTAATTTCATTTGGTGGCCCCTTGTTCTTGTATTATGAGAAGGAGTAAATAACAGTAAATAGGATAATCGCATTCAGTAAATCATAACCTTTCCAATATCATCTCACATGATCCATTTGCATGAAGTATATCTCATTTATATCATTCATATCATAAGCATATTTTCATAAAGAATATGGAATGACACATCACAACAATGTCACCTGAAAATGAGAACAGGTGTTCACATGGCACTGTTGTAGCTAGCAACTGCAAGGTATTTATGTGCCAGATATGCTAAACATTCATATGTGCCTTCATGCTTTGGACACCGTTCCAGAGGACATGCTTCCATGCCAATGACGCTCATTAAAAAAATAATGTATTAATTAAATTTGTGGTTGAACTCCTTGCGGAAGAATTGTATGTCTCCTGCTCTGTTTTAACTGCATTCTGCCATACATTTCGTGTTATGGCAATGACGGATGATGACCCAGCACATGTTGTTTGTTTTAAGAACACTTTCAAAGTAGATTTGACAAAATGCAAGAAGGTACCAATGTGATATTTCTAAAGATAGTATAGCACTTGACCCCAGGTTTAAGAATATGAAGTGCCTTCCAAAATCTGAGCGGGACAAGGTGTGGAGCATGTTTTCAGAAGTCTTAAAAGAGCACCACTCCGATGCAGAAACTACAGAACCTGAATCACCAGAAAAGAAAATCAACCTTTTGTTGGTGGCATCTGACTCAGATGATGAAAATGAATGTGCGTCAGTCTGCACTGCTTTGGATCATTGTCCAGCAGAACCCATCATCAGCATGGAAGCATGTATTTTGGAATGGTGGGTGAAGCATGAAGGCACATATGAATCTTTACCGCACCTGGCACGTAAATATCTTGCGACGCTAGCTACAACAGTGCCATGCGAACACCTGTTCTCTCCCTTGTTTGTCTGAGAGATTGGCTGAACAAGAAGTAGGACTGAGTGGACTTGTAGGCTGTAAAGTTTTACATTGTTTTATTTTTGAGTGCAGTTATTTTTTGAACATAATTCTACATTTCTAAGTTCAACTTCTATGATAAAGAGATTGCACTACAGTACTTGTATTAGGTTTATGGAAAAATACTATTTTTTTTTACAGTGCAAATATTTGTAATAAAAATATAAAGTGAGCACTGTACACTTTGTACACTGAAATCAATATACTTGAAAATGTAGAAAACATCCAAAAATATTTAAATAAATGGTATTCTATTATTGTTTAACAGAGCGACAAATCGTGATTAATTTTTTTCATTGCGCAATTAATTGCGATTAATTATTTTAAATTGTTTGACAGCCCTACTTTTTATGTAGCCTGTTGTAAAATTAGGCAAATATCTACATGAGTTGATGTTCCCCCGGAAGACCTCTGTGTACCCCCAAGGGTACACGTAGCCCTGACTGAGAACCACTGCCTTAGAATGATCTGCCTTTAACTATAAGGTCTAGAGAACATATTTTTCAGCATATACACAACTCCTCAACATATTTTCTTTACATACAACTCACAGTAAGTATGATGACCAGTGTGGCACAGGCTTTCAGTACATACCTTACATGACCCCTTTTGATGAACCCAGGGTACCTCTGTGCCCTATGCCAGCTGGCATCAAGAGGTCTTTGGGTCACAGTGGCAGAGTCTGCAACAGACCACGACAGCTGCCATTCCCAGAGGGAGCTCCTCATCTGATTGCAATCAGAAAGGAATTGAAACCCAAACATTGTAGAGGTGGGGCGCATTGAGGACTTACTGTCAGTAGATCTCAAAATTTAGTATGCCTGCCTGGGATCCAATATGTCAAAAATCTTTGAGTGGTAGGGGATATCTGATTCACATTACGTTACAGAGCTGAAATGCACCCACAAATCCAGTCAATACAATAACTTCATAAAAGTAACATTATTCCCATTTGACAGAAGGGGAAATTGGAGCACAGAATGAAATCACTTGCCCAAGATTTCAGAGGGTATCAATATCAGAGGAACCACTCAGCATTTCCTGGTTCCCAGTTCAGTGCTCAATCCACTAAAAAACACCTGTTCTCCAGTTAGTCACATGACAGCTATTAGAGTACAATGTAAATGAAGATAACAATTCTTACCCGGACAAGTTTTTCTGAATCACCCCTCCATTTGCTGACAATAGTGGATGCTGAAATGTTGAAGAAAGTTGTATTGCATTCAGTAGCAACAGCCTTAGCAAGCAGAGTCTTTCCAGTACCTATCAGCAACAGGGATGAGGAAATTCACTCTGAGTAAATAAAATGTAAATATAGGAATAACTCCCTTCATCATCTTACTAGTCAGCAAATGAACACTGACAAGAAGAGTGGAAATGCAATTAGAACTATTTGGAGAAAAGCAGGTAATACAGGACTTCAAGTCACAGCACCACTGACAAATACATTCAAACCGTTTCGGAGGTACTATATTGAAATGATCAGAGCACCTCAATGGGCTGTATTGAGGCAAATAAATAAAAGAACATACAAGACCAGACCCAATGTTATTTCACTGGGGGCAGCTAGCAGCTTGTCTAACACACTAATAGTTCTACAGACTCCGCAGATGCTATCATGTTATGTCTACACTAAAAACACTACAGTGTAGACACTTGCTACAGCAATGGGAGGAGTTCTCCTGTCACTGTAGTTAATTCATCTCCCTGAGAGACGATAGCTCCAGAAAGAATTTTTCCATAGACCTAGCTATCTATACCAGGGGTTAGGTCAGCATAACGGTCTCTCTCAGGGCTGTGGATTTTGCATGCTGATGAAAGTTTTCAGTGTAGACCAGCCATCAGTGTCTAGGCAACTTTCCAGTGGTGCCTTGGAGGGTGACAGAGATAGTGTGGAGAGCAGTCTAGACAGTGAGAGCATTTGGAGAGACTGCAGAAATGTTAGTTTGTGGGACAGCCTCCATCTTTGCTAGGAGACCAACACCATTTTCAAAATTAACTCCTAAATGAAGGAGAGGGGGAGCTGGTACATTTTTCCAGGAAGGGATAGTCCAAGCCAAATGTATATCTCTTTGAAGGTCAGTCCCAGCCAAATTTGTACTACTGGCAACTATGGCAAATGGAGCAACAATATGGAATTGACATGCCCTCCGAAGCACATGACTGCTCTGATTACACTTGGAGTCAAGAATGTTGGTTGGAGGGAAGATTTAGGTGTAGAAATATCCTAGAGTTGTGGGAATTCTGGATGTGGCAAGAGTGTAGATTGAAGGGCTAATCTCCATGACACCAAGTAAATTTGTTAGATTCGTATATTGGAGCAAATCAGCATGAAGCTCTTAAAATGCATTTTTAATTAATCTGTTTGGATATGAACAAAAATAGCAATATATGTAGCTACACCTATATTTATAGTATAAACTTGTACCTACCTGGAGGTCCATATAATAATAATCCTTTCCAAGGGGAGAGAATCCCGGTAAACAGCTGTGGATACTGTGGAAACAAAAGAGCAATTCATGGATTAAAAATATAAAATCTGAGTCAAAATGCTGGTTTTTTGCAACAATCTTGTACATGGAGGAAATCTAGGAAACTAGAAGAGAGGAAAAATAAAAGAATTACATAATAGATTTTACCATACAACATGCTACATTTAACCACATGAAATCTATTTTAAATGTATTTTTCATGTTTTTATTTTGTATAAATGGATATAGTTTGCTATTCTCTTCAGTAATTCATTTTCCTATAGCATGATGTGTCTGGCAGCTTTTCTTTAGGCAAAATTCCCACAGAATAAGCATTAACAGAGTGGGCTTTTTCTATCCAGCATACTGCGGAGCATTTGTATATGAAAAGTTACACGGCATTGTCAACTTAAATTCCATTTGCTGACTAGGAACTACGTTCAGAAAAGGACAGATACAGTCAGAACGATGGGTCAGCACTCTACAAGAAAAATTTTAACTAGCTGATGATATTCTGACCATGATAATGTATAGAAATGGTGTCCAATATTGGTTTTCTCAAAGCTATTTAGAGCCTTACCCTTATAGGATACACCACTGCTTCCTTGACTAACCGCTTGGCTGCATCAAGTCCAATAATGTCATCCCACTTTATGTTTGGATTATGAAGATAAATGTCCTGTAATGCAATTTGATCTTTTTTAGAAAAAAAAATAAAGTTTTCATGTACAAATATAATAAACCCTCAAGTAGCAAAACAGCCTACTTATTCCAGGATGTGAAGTAATAGTGATATAGGTTTCAGAGTAGCAGCCGTGTTAGTCTGTATCCACAAAAAGAACAGTAGTCTCTAAGGTGCCACAAGTACTAACAAATTTATAAGAGCATAAGCTTTCGTGGACTACAGCAAAGTGATGCAAACTGTTTAATTTACAGTATAGGCTCGTAACTGTTAGCTCACAAAAGGGAAGCACTTGGCACACACAATAATAATTCCCAGAAAAACCACTATTTATGGCTGGCTCTCATTGAAGCCAATGGAGGTTAGACATTGGCTTTAAGGGGAGCACAGTAATGGCCATAGTGGATCAGACCAATGATCCATCTCCTCAACAGTAGCTGGTATCAGATAATTCAGAGCAAAGTGCAATAAACTCCTTAATGGATAATTGTGGAATAATCTACCCGGGGAGAACATTCTATATAATAATTAGTCTATGCCCTGAAGAATTCATTCAGATAATTTCATTCAGTTTGTCAAATTATCTAATCCATTTAAATCCTACTAAGATCTTGGCCTCAATAATATTTTGTGGCAGTACGTTCCACAGATGAATTTTTGCATAGAAAGAAAAATCACATCCTTAATATAATTTGTTGGGGATTTAATTGGGACCACATTGCTGAATCAGGGTCTTAATCCATGTCACTGACTTCTTCAGCCATCTTGGTAATATATTAAAGGTTTTCCTAACAGCTGACTAGTGTACAGTTTCGAAAGTAAGGACATAGGGAAACGCAATGCTGGTCTTGTCAGTACAGCTCCAACAGCATGGAGTAGTATATCCCCTGGCCCCATAAGGAAGAGTGTTCTAAATTATTTGTGTGTGTTCTAGGCCAGGAAAAAATATCTTTTCTAATGTCATTACATGCAAGAAAGGGAAAACACATTGGGTCTAATTTATCATTGGTGTAATTTTAATGGGGATACACCAGGAAAAAAAAACTGGCCTGGTACCTTCAAGAATTAGCATTATCCTTACCAACAAAAAGAAACCAACAGCATTCTCAGACACCTACAGTAACCTACAGTAACCCTCTAAATGACTGAAATGAAGATCCAATCTTACTCTGCTTACAACCGTTGCAAGTTCTCTCATCTCACCACTCATGCCAATAAAAGCACTCAGAGGTTTCAACAATCGTTCCTAAAAAGACAGAAGTAAGTGGGAGTCAACAATTTATTTCACTACATTTTTAATACAAATTATGAAGCAGTTTCAAAACAGTAACACATTCAGGTAAAATGGTAAAGGTACAAACAACAACAATGACATTGAAATAAGACATATTTGAGATGCCCCCATAGCTCTTCACTATAAGGGTAAGCCATTATAGGAGATCTCCCTAAGTCCTAATGGGTGAACTTATGACTCAGGGCTGGATTCTGCCAAACTTACTCACAGCAAGTAGCTTCCTTACTCCACAAATAGTTCTATTTATCTCAGCATAAGGATGGCAGAACCTGACCTGCAGGGATTAAGGCCCTCAGGAATATAAGCGACTGTTATCACACCTTCTCATGTGCTGTTTTAAAGGATGATGTTCCTTTCAAGTATAACAGGCAGCCCCATACAGTTTAGCACTGGCTGAGAAGGGGTGATTTTGCTGGTGGCTTTGGCTTGTAGTAGGCAGCGGTGGCCTTGACCGAAAACCTCTACCCCAAAGATTTTAGTGTTCTGGGGAAAGGCTAAAATACAGAGACTTCAGTATCTTGACATAAATTTGGAGACAGAAGAAACTGTTGGCTGAAACTTGAACACACAGGGTAATAGTCTGTCCCTACTGAAGTCAGGGACAAGGATTTCACCCAGATCTGTTTTGTGGAGCTCTGAAAATTGTGCTACATTTGTGAATTATAAAATGTGATTTGTATTTGCCACAAACATCCCTGTTTGGGGAGTACATAAATGTCAACAGATTAGACTAGTGTTAGTGTCCATTCATTGCTTTTTCAGCAAGGACATAAGCAACTCCAGAAGTTCAAACCGTTGGGACCATGTCAATTATGGTATTTTATTTTACTGTTCCCCGTTGCATAGTTCAGTGCATAGTTACTTCTAAAGTTAATTTTGTTAGATGGAAATAATAATCCCTTACTGAAGGATCTGGATCACAGTTAAGGCTGTTTGAGGCTATTTCATTTGATGCTCCTTTGATAGCATCTTGGATCATCCCACGGAAGTCAATTATTTGGCCCTGAAGGGGGGGAGGAAAAAAAAAAAAAAGAGTGATGTAATAGGCTTTATCCTATCTAAAGAAAGTATCTGAGTCTACATTTAAAACTTCATGAATTACAGAGTACAAAGCAAGCTTAACAGGATGACAGCTCTCCAACGACAAAAGGCAACAGGCCAAATTCTGCCCAAGAAGTCAATGGAAGCAGTGGGGGAAGAACCCAGGTGTCTTAACTCCCAGTGTTGTGCTTTAACTACAAAACCATCTGTCTACCACTTTCAAGCAGCAGAAAAAAAATTATACATTCAGTTTCTGTTTTTACTATTAGGAGTTGGACTTTTCTATCCTATTTCTACATTGTTCCTTAGTTCTATGCAGAGTACACTAACTATGCCAAATAATGGGCTACGGATAAAAGTTACAGTCCATCAGCAGATACTTAGGAGCCCTCAGACAGCCACACAGAAGAAGTATTTTATGTAAACGTACAGAAGAGTCATATCAAACCTTCGTGTACAACTTCTCTGCTTTTCTTCATATACATTCCCATAATGTAGACGTGTTTTGTGCATAGAAAGTTTCTACTGACCCTTCTTGGGTGAGTGCTTTCTCCTCCACCACCTCTGTTGATTGCAGACACATTTAAACCAAAATCAGCTCGCTCCTGAGTAACTGTATTGTCATTCTCCTAAAGAAAAATCAGTTTTAGAAAAAACAATTCTTTCCAACCAGATGAGTGTTAGACTTCACTGTAGTTCTTCACACATGCCCAGATGGTAAGATTTTTCAGCTGAACTTTTATATTCCACTGAACTCATACCAATAATGCCTGATGTTAGTATGTAACATTATTATGTGTGCCTTTAGGTCTCAATCTGGCTAGCTGCTGAAAGCAATTCAGAGCCACAACTCTAGCACTCAGCGTTCATTTGTTTCCTCTGCAGAGAGTTTTCTATACAGTGTAGAGAAATCGGCATAGTGCTCAGTAATGAGGAGAAACCTCTATGAGCACCATGAATGGAGCATTAGGGTACAGAAGGGATAACAGATATGACTGGAAGAGGAGGTAGAGAATGAGCAATGCATCTGTTTAAATGCAAATGATGGGCTATTTTAGGATTTTAAGTTACTTCAACATCTATCCATGACTAGTGGCTACTGCTGTGTACTAAATTGCTGCACTTACAAAAAAGTGACAGCAGGGTCAGGCATAAGATCCAGCCCCTAACACAGAAACTTGTTCAAGGATTTTAAGAAAACAATCTCCGGCACCTACTCAATGCCTCTAGAATCATGCTAGGCTAGCTCATCTCAGCTTACTTCACCTTAACACATAGTTAATTGCAAAGCATCATGTTCAGCAGCCCTGCCAGAATTGACCCCAAAGAGCAAAAGACCACAGTGACAAATTACATTTACAAACTCAAACGTGTTAGACTGAGTTGTGTGAATGTGTTTATGACTGAGACTGGATATCTTATTTGACCTTCTACCGTCTGTAATCCTCCTCATCTCTAGCACTATGGGACTAATTCTTAAGCCCACAGAAATTAATGGAAAGATACCTGTCAACTTCATTTGCTGATGGATTAGGTCCCATGTGAGATGTTCTTTTCCTCCATTTCCAACCTGTGCCTTTTTCCCCGCTACCATCTTATACAGCTAGCATCTCCCACTGGACTCCTGTGTTGTTATAGTTACATAAGTAGTAAAACTCTTTACTCACAAACCTCTAAATGTTTTCTCAGCCTCTTATTGACTATATCATAAGAACGGCCATACTGGGTCAGATCAAAGGTCCATCTAGCCCAGTATCCTGTCTTCCGACAGTGGCCAATGCCAGGTGCCCCAGAGGGAATGAACAGAACAGGTAACGATCAAGTGATCCATCTCCTGTCACTCATTCCCAACTTCTGGCAAACAGAGGCTAGGGATACCATCCCTACCCATCCTGGATAACAGCCATTGATGGACCTATCCTCCATGAATCTGTCTAGTTCGTTTTTGAAACCTGTTATAGTCTTGGCCTTCACAACATCCTCTGGCGAGTTCCACAGGTTGACTGTCCATTGTGTGAAAAAATAATTCCTTTTGTTTGTTTTAAACCTGCTGCCTATTAATTTCATTTGGTGACCCCTAGTTCTTGTGTTATGAGAAGGAGTAAATAAGGGCCTGTCTACACTTACCAAGGGATCAATGCACGGTGATCGATGCATTGGTGGTCGATTTAGCGGGTCCAGTGAAGACCCGCTAAATCGACAGCAGATTGCTCTGCTGTCGACTCTTGTGCTCCACCTGAACGAGACGCACAAGGGGAGTCGATGAGAGAGCATCTCCCATGGACATAGCGTTGTGTGAACCCCGAGGTAAGTAGATCTAAGTATGTCGACTTCAGCTACATTATTCATGTAGCTGAAGTTGCTTAACATAGATCGATCTCCCCCTGTACCGTAGACTAAGCCTAACATTTCCTTATTTACTTTCACCACACCAGTCATGATTTTAATGACCTCTATCCTATTCCCCCTTAGTAGTCTCTTTCCCAGGATGAAAAGTCCCAGTCTTTTTAATCTCTCCTCATATGGCAGCCGTTCCATATGCCTAATCATTTTTGTTGCCCTTTTCTGAACCTTTCCCTAGTCCAATATATATTTTTTGAGATGAGGCGACCACATCTGCACACAGTATTCAAGATGTGGGCGTACCATGGATTTATATAGAGTCAATATACTATTTTCGGTCTTATTATCTATCCCTTTCTTAATGATTCCCAACATTCTATTCATTTTTTTGACTGCCGCTGCACATTGAGTGGATGTTTTCAGAGAACTATCCACAGTGACTCCAAGATCTCTTTCTTGAGTGGTAACTGCTAATTTAGACCCCATCATGGTCCAAAGTAAAATAAATTCCAATTGCAATGTAACATGGTCAACACATTTGAACCTGTTTGGGGCTGTCCTTGCTAGATGGTTTAGGCTCTGTTGTCCTCCCAGATGAGGTTTTTGATAATGGCCGCTGCATAGTTTGATGCTGGTTGATCCTAGGAAGATTATGAGAAGAGCTACTTGCCGTCCTAGGATACAAAAAGCCTTTCAGGATGTAATTTTTTAACTTCTCATTTTGTTTCCAGCATACCTCACAATACAGAAGGATTAATGGTGGGATTTTCCAGAAAGTACAGTGTTGGTCTAACTTTAGTCCCACTGAAGTCAATGAATTGAGGTCAATGCTGAATGCTTTTAAAAATCCCACCCTAACCCTTTCTATGTGATGATGGAGGGGATATTTCAGAGACTTTAGCAATCTATGAATCAGGCTGAAAAATTTAAAAAAAAAGTCTTACCTAAAATTTTAGGTAGCTTTTTAAAAGAAAATGAAATTCCACCATTTAGTTTCCAGCGTGCTCACCGGTATGTTAGTTTAGCACCTCCAAGGTATCAGAGCATTTGTGTAACAGTACCATGTTTTACCCTTAGGGAGAAATCTTCTGTCCAGTGCCCAACCCAAGCGACTTTTCCCTTACCTTCTTGGTTTTCCTCCATTTCTTGGTTGCTGTTTATTTTCTGCTGTGGCAAAAATAAATATTGAAATTAGAAATAAATAAGAGTGGGATGCCATGGTCAAGGAAGAAAGAAAATTTCATCCTATTTTTTCTTTTAAAAACATTTTTGAGTGAACCTTGTGCTTGTGAAAGTTGTGAGGTTATGAAGCTCAGAAACTAAAGTCACCTTATAAAGCAGGTACAACATTGGCAGTAACAGAGTAAACCTGGCAAAGTGCCTCAATCCTGATATGACTAGTGGGAAAGTAGTTCAGGCTTATTAAGTCTTTAGTTCCATTCAGTCTTTGGACTCTCTCCTGAGACTACAAACAAGGTGCCAAATCAACACTGGTTACTGTGATATGGACCTTTCTTTACTAGGAACTGGACTGAGCCCACTAAACTCGTTTAACATACAGCATTGAATAACCATTGGACAATAACAACTTTTACCCATTGTCAAAGTAGGACAGATTTAAGGTCGCGACCAATAACACTTAAGAGTCCATCCTTAGGACTAAGGTGCTGTCTCACACCATTTTAATCACTCTGCCTTAAAGCTGCCAACCTGCAACATGCCATCACAACACAAATGTCACAACCTGATGATGTGCTATCAACCCACAAACTATTTCAGGCACTCTTAGAAAATAAGATTTACACACACACACACACACACACAGCAGAACGTGAGGTCACTCAAAATCCTAAATTAGAACCAGTGACCCGGAGATGAAAGGTTCTGTACCCCATTAGCAATCTCCTCGCTGTTCTGAGGCCCTTCTCCTCCTAGTATCTATAGATAGAATATTATGAGGGACAGATTCTGATACTCCTCAAGGCACTGATTTGGGGACTGAGGCATTACTCAGTCTGAGTAAGGGAATCACAATCTCACTGTAAATATGATCTAACAAATGTTCTGCAATAGGACCCATTATCCTTGATTTGCAATTAATTCCATCATTTATACATTGTAGGACTGACCTTTTTAAAACGCTAGACCCTGTTTGTAAATCCAAACACTAGACCCTGTTTGTAAATCTCTCACACATGCACACACTACTTGCTTCCAGCCACTCCTGATCTTTTACATAATTAGGAATGTCAGTATGACTGGTGGGTTTTAAAAGCATTTAATCCATGCAAGGATTATTATTTTTATATGCTTCAGTAGTGTCCCATTTACCTGGGATCTTCAAACTTCCTAATAAGCTTTTGAAGCAACTGAAACTGCTTGGAGATATTCTCTGCTCACTCATCCCCTTCTCTAACAATCAACACTCTCCATAACTTTGCCTCTGCTTGTATTGTTGTTGCCTTCTGTAACCCACTTACTCCTTATGTTGAACACAAGTTCAAGAACACTCAAGATCTCATGGTCCGATCTCAATATGTCTGTTCTGAGTTGCCTCATACAGTATTGCCTTTGCTTGTGCCTCTGGAGTACACGTCTTTTGGAGCAAGGACCTGTTATTTGCTTGGTACATACCATTTAGTGTAAAGGAATGTGCTACATTAAATTTAATAATAAATAATAATGGTGGGAATAAACTTTGAAGAATGGTCTTAGATGACCTCTAGGCTACAATCTTTCCCTTTAGTTATTCATTTTGTATTTGAAAATAAAATCAGAAGTAGAGCATTCTTAATATTGTTACCCAAAGAGGAAAAAATGAGAAAATATCTATATAATATTTTGCACTTAGATATTATTTTTTTACCTGTAGATCTCAAAATTGTTTTAAAAAGATGGATAAACAGCATAATATCCATTCACACAGATAGGAAAAGTGAAGCACACAGAAGTGAGAAACAGAGAAGGAAACAGACCCCAGGTCTCCCGAATCCCAATCCCACATTCTAACCACTAGACCTTTAGCGCTATAATTATTTGGGGACAGAGGAAATAACATTAAATAAGGATAAGTCTGAGAAGTGTCGGGTATTTTAGTGCACACATATTTTTAAAATGATGAGAAACAGAAGTTGGAAAGCTTTCTTTTTGGAACACAGTCACGTACCAGTGTCTAGGGCCTTTTTGGTAATTTTAGGGTATCTCTGGAATTTTACATAGTAATAGCTTTCATATTCCATCAAAATAGTCTCAAGATCAACGTTGTCACAAACTTCAAAGCGGCGTAAAGCTAATTTGGTTTCTTGTTCCAAAGCATTTGCAGCATCAACATACCTGGTCATTTCAAAAGAGCAAAGAACGTAAAACTGAATGTCATTATTCTATAAAATTCTTTGAGAGAAATAGCATACAAGGAAACATGTTATAGTTCAAACTGTGGCAATCCTACATAACTAATAACCAATAACAATTATAAGCACTTTTCATTCACAGGCCTCAAAGTGCTTCCCAAAAGTTCAATATAAGATCACATTGCAAGTTAGTAACAGAGCTGTGACTAGAACCCAATTCTGTTGAAATCCAGAACTGAATCCTACCCACCTATCCATCCTGCCTCATTATTATTAGTTTATATCAATTAATTAAACAAAAAAAAGAATAACCACCAGTGTGGTACATTTGGCCCTTTATCTTCAAACCATTGTGCAAATATTAACCAATTAATTCTCATAATGCCTTTGAGAGACTTGTCTGCATTTTACTGATGGGGAAACAGAGAGAGGACCAGATTCTGATGTCAGTTACATCAATATAAACCTAGAATAACATTATTTGAATAAATTCCTAGCTATATAAAATTCACACTGTTGTAACTGAGATCAGAATCAGGCCTGCAGAGATGAAGGGGTAAATATTCAAAATGGCTGTGTCCCGGGCTGGCAAATTTGTATCTTCCCTTCTGCACCCATAAAATCAAATCCAGGTGCAAATTGTACAACCTATACTTATTACCTCATTTCAATGCAAATCATAGAATTAAAAGCTGAAGAACCAAGATTTCCACCTTAAATTCAAATACAAATGTAAAAATGCGAGGGGGGGGCAATTTTTTGCAACTGCAAATTATACCAGAAAAAGGAAGGCCAGTGCTTTTGAAAATTTTACTCAGTTGCTTGTTCAAAGTCACACAATAAATTGAGGAAAGTCAGGATAATTCTGATTCTCAGCCCCAAATTTACTCCATTAATATAATTACACTTTCATACAAAATATATTTATACGCTATTAAAACTACATATGTACGTTCTTCTGTGTTACTGTACCTTCCATTAAAAGTAATGGAAATTGTGCCTGTACGCAACAAGTCACACGCTAAAAATCAACTACAGAATTTGGCAGCTCAATGCTGATATACCTGATGTAAGCCCATCCTCAGCCTCCTCTGTTGTCCTTGTCCACTAAGCAAAATAACCAGACATTTTTACTTTCTCAAATAGCATTTTTATTTGCCCCAGATTTCTGTGAAATAGGATTATTTTGGTCTTGAGCTGTTTAAAACTTTCTTATTTTTATTTACACATATTTAAGTCCAGCATCTCATGAACATTTGGGAGAAAAGATGTCTTGGTTAAAAATTCAGTTAAGATGTGAAAGTTCACAATTCCCATTTCCTGAGCCCACAAGAAACTCTCCAGCAAAACCAAAAGACCTAACTTGATATTCCTAGCATTAATAGTAAACGCAAGGAGGAAGCTTTTTTTAAAACCTTTCAGATCTTTGTTACACATCATAAAGGGCACAACCCCAATTAAAAAAAAAAAACACAACAACAACCTTTACAGATGATTGCAAAAAGTTTCTAAGTAGCACCAGATACAAGCTTTTTATTTTTATTCTATGCATTGAAATAAAATGAATTTAAAAGTAAAATATTCATGTTATATGCTAGTATTAGACACACTGCAGAGCAATTTAATTAGCAGAGCAGGCCTTCCATTGCATCCACTATAGGGCAGAAATGAACATCATCATGAAAGGCCAGAAACATACCCAAATATACAACTGTAGTATATTTTTGTTTAGATAACATACCCTTCCTCTGTTAAATAATGCAAAATTAGAATGAGAAGATTTTTTCTACGAGCTTCTGTCCGCATCTCGTCCTGTGAAGGAAGATAGAATTCTAGATCAAATGTAATGATCAGATTCTATTTATAGCTACAAACAGCATGGAAATGTAGTCTGTCCAAATAAATCCAATTAAATAAAGACAACAGTACGTAAGAACTATAAAACAGCTTGCAGTCAAAAAACAGAAGTAAAATGGTTTTCCACTGTAATTTTTTTAACTCCATCAGGCATCCGGGATGGATAAAAGCTTTTTCATAGAAACAATTAGTTTGAATTAGAAATTCCTTTTACTGTTTGTATTTTTGTGAAATTCTGGGATTTATCTGGGCCAGTACAGGGATTGGTTACCATCTGGTAACCTTGGGTGTCTTGTGGTTGTGCAACTTTCATCCAGAGCTCTAACCCTAACAGATTACCCCCAGCACACAAGCCTCAACCTGGCTTTACCCAACCTGGTTACTCCTTGAAGGCTGACTTTGGTATGATTCCAGCCCCGAATTCATCCCAAACTCATCCTATAGCAGGGACCAGCCCCTCTCACTGGACCCTCACAGAATAAATGTTAGGTTCACTACCTTTACAGAGACAGTCAATCACTCCAACCTGTTAGCTTCCTAGAAGCACACACTTCTCTGAACTTTTATAGCACTGATGATTTATAATGAAAGCAAAAGAACATGGATTAAGTGATACCAAGTAAAAGGGACAAAAGGGAGAAATGGTTAAAAACAAATAAAAATGAAAACACGCATCCAAAAGACTAAAAAAAAAAAAAAAAAAATCTAGCATGATACAGCCTTTGTTCAAGATGGTTTCTCTCACCCACTGCAAGGCTGGAAACTAGGACCACAGGTGTTTGGGACTGCTGATGCCTCCACATCACCACTGGAGGTTAAGGCTGGGCTCCCATGGGAGGATCATGAAACTCTGGAAATACCACCCAGCAGGACCTGAGTGGCAGCCCCACACAGCCCACCGATTGGTTGGTACCAGTGCTTTAACCAGGAGGCCATGAAGGGGAGCCGTCTAAGCAACAGCATAGACTGCATGCCTGTTTCTGCTCCAGACCCTGCTTGCGATAGACCCTAGATTCCAGCTTTTGACCCTGATTTTACCTCAACTTTGCTCTTCAATTGCTTTCCGTAACCTGGTGCCTGGCCCCAATTTTCTGGTAACCTGACCCTGTCACCTGACACTTGATTCTCAGTTTGCTGTCTGACCTGCCTTGAACTCTGACCTCCCCGTAACCTGACCCTGCCTGCCTACTGACGCCTGACCCTTGGTCTGTCCTCTGGCCTGTCTTAGACTCTGACCTCTCTGCACATGACTTGGCCTGACTCCTGTTCTGACCAATAAGTTTGTCCTTGTTGTGTCAGTTTGCTCAGACTACCTTTGGTTCCCCCCAAAGCCAGCCAACCCCTCCACAGATGATGGAGGGGACAAGCCGCCCTCCAACCAACCGCACCCTGGTGGCCTGGGACCCATACGACCAAGCCACCTGTCTGCAGCCCCATGCTACACAGCATGCACTTGAACCACAACTCAGTGCAAATAACTAACCCGGTCGCAGGCTCCCGTGGCGCTGCTCACTGCTGAAGCACAGACCCTGCGTGAGCAGCTCGTATGCTCCCCGGGAGAAGCAGTGACACTACGTGTCCAAACAGACCAGGCATCACCTGAACCAGCCCCTATGGTGCTACTGCCCAAACGGTTGAACAAGAATAGTCAGAAATACTGGGATTTTCTGAACCAACGCAGGCTGTTTTTCCTGCTCTGCCCGAGCACACCCCACAGAGCAAACTAAGGTGGGGCTAGTAGTTAGCCCGCTCTCTGGCGAAACGCTCGACTGGGCCCGTCACCAGTTGGAGCAGACCAACCCTGTGCTCTCCTACTGGGACGCCTTCCTGTAAGCCTTTGCAACCATCTCTGAAGGCCCGCATCACATCCACTCTGCAAAGGCTGCCCTCCGGAAGCTTCTTGAATGGCAATGGCCAGCCACCGCCTCCATCACCCACTTCCAAAAGCTTGTGGTAGATGTTGAATGGAATGAAGCAGCCTAACCTTACCAGTTCTAATTAGGGCTCAATGATGAGGTCAAAAATGAGTCCTGAACCCAGGAACCCAGGTCAACCTGGGTTACTGACATCTGACCCCAGAGTAGAGAGAGCATCGATGATAGCTGAACCTTTGTTTTACTGTGGGGGACTAGGACATGCTCTTGCCTCCTGCCCAGCTCGGAAGAACTCAGGAAATGGATCAGCCCAGGGCCAGCAGAGGGGGTGAAGCCTGGGCACCACTAGAGTTCAGTGCTACAGAAACATGCCCCTGCCCTCAAGTAGAACCTGACCTGGAAACCATGGTGTCGCCCCACATTTCCAATTCCTACTGCAGTTGCAAGTCTTGTGGCATGTGCAGCAGATTCCCTCCCCGCCCCCAAAACTAGCAATGACAGACTCCAGGGCTGCTGCAACTTTATAGATTTTTGAGGCAGCCAAACTCTCCAGATTCCCCCTTCAGCTGAAACCCACACAGTACCTGGTGGAGAGGACTGATAGATCGCCCCTATCTTCGGGTCTGGGGACTCAAGAGACCATCGCGTTAGAAGTCGTAATGGAAGAACACTAAGAAACAATGTGCTTTGATGTAACCAGCTCTCCATTCTTCCTGATAATTCTTGGCATTCCTTGTTTGAATTGGCAGGACCCATGTATGTCTAGGTGGTGGGGGAACATTAGCTTCCCTTCTGATTACTGTCAGAAAGCATGCTTCCAATGAAGCAACTTACCCCCAACTGAACTGCACCCAGGGCCCCAGAACAGGAGGAGACCATCAGAAGCGAAACCCTGGAAAGTGGGGGCTAGCCAGACAGGAGCGGCTCCAGGCCAGAACCTCAGCCTCCCTGACAAGTACTGCGACTTCCTGGATGTGTTTGAGAAGAAAAATGCAGACTCACTAATCCCATACAGACCACCAGCCCTGGGCAAAGGTGCCCTACGAATGAATATACTCCATGTCTGAACCAGAGCTGTAAGCGCTACATGGGTATACCCAGGAAAAGCTCGCCAACGGCTTCATTGGCGATCCAACACTCTAGCGGGGCACCAGTAATCTTTGTGAAGGAGGACAACAGGTCACTACACCTCTACGTGGACTATTGTGCATTGAACAGTGATTATTCATAACCAATACCCATTGCCCCTCATTCTAGAACTTCTGGACTGCCCAAGAACTGCCAGGATATTCATGAAATTAGATCTTCAGGAAGCATAAAATTTAGTGTGCATAAGGCCTGAGGATGAATGGAAGACCGTTTTTCATACCCAATAGGGGCACCTGGAATACTTGATGATGCCATTTGGCTTAACTAGAGCTTCTGCAACATTTCATAAACGATGTGTTTAGGGATATCCTAGATCGGTACATGATCATCTACTTCGACAATATTCTGGTGTTTTTCAAGAACTTGCAGCACTACCACCATGTTCCGTCTGTTCTGGGAACATTAGCAATGAAGAACAAAGCCCCCTGGTTTGTACGCCAAACTGGAAAAGCACACCTTCGACCGGCCCATCATTGAATTTTTGGAGTACATCATTTCCCCAGAGTGAATCCCGATTTTACTTTACTGTGGAACTCCCAGCATTTGATGGCCAAACATTTGTGGACTTCCTGATCCAAATGGCCCACTTCATCCCCTGCAACCAGCTACGCTCTGCTGAGACTAACACCCACCTCCTACTGCAAAATGTGGTATGGCTCTACGGGTTTACTGACCGCATAATTTCTGACCAAAGCTCACAGTTCACCTCTTGCTTCTGGCATGAAGCATTTAGGCCACGGGTGGACAAACTACAACCTGTGGGCCGCGTCCACCCTGTCAGACCTTTCAATCTGGCCCTAAAGCTTCCATCTGGGAGTGGGCTCAGGGGCTTGCCCTGCTCAACCCACCCAGCGCTTCAGCTGGGGAGGGGGGTTGAGGGCTTAGAATCATAGAATATCAGGGTTGGAAGGGACCTCAGGAGGTCATCAACGCAGGACCAATCCCCAACTAAATCATCCCAGCCAGGGCTTTGTCAAGACTGACCTTAAAAACATCTAAGGAAAGAGATTCCACCACGTCCCTAGGTAACGCATTCCAGTGTTTCACCACCCTCCTAGTGAAAAAGTTTTTCCTAATATCCAACCTAAACCTCCCCCACTGCAACTTGAGACCATTAGTCTTTGTTCTGTCATCTGCTACCACTGAGAACAGTCTAGAGCCATCCTCTTTGGAACCCCCTTTCAGGTAGTTGAAAGCAGCTATCAAATCCCCCCTCATTCTTCTCTTCCGCAGACTAAACAATCCCAGTTCCCCCAGCCTCTCCTCATAAGTCATGTGTTCCAGTCCCCTAATCATTTTTGTTGCCCTCCGCTGGACTCTTTCCAATTTTTCCACATCCTTCTTGTAGTGTGGGGCCCAAAACTGGACACAATACTCCAGATGAGGCCTCACCAACGTCGAATAGAGGGGAACGATCACGTCCCTCGCTCTGCTGGCAATGCTCCTACTTATACATCCCAAAATGCCATTGGCCTTCTTGGCAACAAGGGCACACTGTTGACTCGTATCCAGCTTCTCGTCCACTGTAACCCCTAGGTCCTTCTCTGCAGAACTGCTGCCGAGCCATTCGGTCCCTAGTCTGTAGCGGTGCATTGGATTCTTCCATCCTAAGTGCAGGACTCTGCACTTGTCCTTGTTGAACCGCATCAGATTTCTTTTGCCCAATCCTTTAATTTGTCTAGGGCCCTCTGTATCCTACCCTACCCTCCAGCGTATCTACCTCTCCTCCCAGTTTAGTGTCATCTGCAAACTTGCTGAGGGTGCAATGCACACCATCCTCCAGATCATTTATGAAGATATTGAACAAAACCGGCCCCAGGACCGACCCTTGGGGCACTCCACTTGATACTGGCTGCCAACTAGATATGGAGCCATTGATCACTACCCGTTGAACCTGACAATCTAGCCAATTTTCTATCCACCTTATAGTCCATTCATCCGGCCCATACTTCTTTAACTTGCTGGCAAGAATACTGTGGGAGACCGTGTCAAAAGCTTTGCTAAACTCAAGGAACAACATGTCCACCGCTTTCCCCTCATCCACAGAGCCAGCTATCTCGCCATAGAAGGCAATTAGATTAGTCAGGCACGACTTGTCCCTCTCCACCCACCCAGTGCTCCCCCAACCCCCAACTCACAATTCCTGGATGAGCACCATCTTCCCACATGCAGAGTCACACTGCACAGGTGCGACCAGCACCGCTTATCCAGACTTCACAGAGTTGTTTCTGGAATCAGAACCCCACCCCTTCGCGCCCAATCCCCAAAGCGCCAGCCTCCTCGCACCAGCCTCTGCCCAAAACTGGCCAATGATCAAGGCCAGCCACATTGCAGGATACTGCCCCTAAACAAGTCCAATTAGGAACCACAGTCTCCTTCATTGACCAATCCCTGAGGCATTGCTCCTCCGAGAGACTCACCTCATTCCTCATCAGCCAATCACCGCGGCCCGGACCTTTCCAGTCTCCTATAGCCGCATCCTCAAGACTCTCGAAACCACCCAGGGGCCGCACCCATCACAGCTAGGGTGCCTCCGCTTGCGGCAGTGCCTGGTACAGCCACTTTGGTGTCACTGCTGGCAGAGCCCCTAGGAGTCCCCGGTACCGTTCTGGTAGAGCCCTTCCCCCGTGCCACACCCCATGACTCCCCCTCCCCGCACCTCCGTAATTTCATGAGCATTCATGGCCTGCCATACAATTTCCATACCCAGATATGGCCCTCAGGCCAAAAAGTTTGCCCACCCTGATTTAGGCTATGGACATCCACCTGCACTGCATACCACCCCCAAACGCATGGACAAACTGAACAGGTGAACCAAGTACTGGAGCAGTATTTGAAATGCTTTATAAATTAAGATCAAGACAACTGGTCCATGATCCTGCCATATCCAAATTTTTCTTACAGCACCAGCAACCATGCCTCCACAGGTCAGAGCCCCTTCTTTGCTAATTATGGATTCTACCTCCCTTTCCAGCTGCTGCTACCGACTGGGACCAATAGATTCACCTCATTGAGGAAGAGCTCAAAAACCACTTAAATTAAGAAGTGAAGGCCTATAAGAGGCATGTGACCATCAGCAACAAGAAGCTCCAGTATTTACTGTATGCCAGGTGTGGCTCGCCGCCAAACACCTCCAGACTAGGTGACCCTCCCACAAATTGGACCACCAGTTCCTTGGACCCTTCCCAATATGACAGCAGAATAACCTGGTGTCATGTTCCAGGATGCAATCCAGACCAGTGAGGGGTTTTGTCACCTCCTGCCCCTCAACCTTGGGTTTCTCACAATGCTTTGCTGTTGTAGCACTAAATCTGGACCTCTCACAAACAGCCTACCAGCATTCCCTGAGTGTCTGTGTATAGCTACAGCTCTAGTCCAGCAACTCTGACACCACCAGGCTCTCAGCAACACACCAGCCACACTCTGGCTTCTAGCAGCCTTAGTTACTACCTGCAGGGTGAGCCCAACACACTCCAAATCCCAAATTTCCCCCCAAACCTGTCTTCTGCACTGTCCAGGATGTCCGTGGCCCCTGTAAGGGGTCAATATGCAACAATCTGCTACCTTAATTGGAGTTACCAAACTGTTCAGTTTAAACACAACACTGGATTACTTTTGATTACTAAATAAAACAAGTTTATTTAACTACAAACAGATTTTAAATGAATACAAGTATCAGAAAAGGTTACAAGAGACATAAAGATAAAGTATTTCTAGAAGCTAAAAGTTAAACTAGACTTGGTTCAAGGTAAAATCCTTACCACATGCTCCCAGAAACATTGCTGACCAAATTCTGTGATCATGTCCCCACCCAAAGTCAAAAGGTTGGTTCCTTTGTCGTCTTAGATGAAAGAAAGAGAGGAAGGGAGAGAAAGAAAAGATAGAGATAGATATAACCTGGGGTGTTTTTGACCCTCACTTTTATAGTCCAGTCACCCTTTGACATGCATTCTCCTAAGGATTACCCCTAGATAAAGTTCCTTCCCACTGTGAGGGTGGAGATATGAAGTCTCGTGGTGAAAGAAGTTTCATGCTGTTATTTGCTAAAGTGCAGATCAATCTGTTCCTGTCTGTCCCCCCACCCCCCCCGCCCCGTTGTTGCCAAAGAATTGCCACTTGACAGGTGATGGCCAATCAACTATGACACCTGACTAGAGGCGTTAGCTTGTCCTTTGTCTCTGAGGAACCAGTTTACTCCCTCTTGTTGTCCCGAGGATCCCGATTACCTCAGTTTACATATAAGTAGTAAACACAAATTTCTGTGTTTAAGATAGACCTATTTAACAACTTCTGCCTAGTTGGGGCTACATGGGTTTAAACGTGCTATCATCATACAAGGGCATTCAGAACTTTACATATAATGTTGCTACATGCATTTCACCATTATAGTATTGACTAGTAAGTTATTAATTTTCAAATGATACCTCACAAGGTATCTTTGTACATATTTTGTACAAAGATTATTACAATAATGGGTAGGGTGTGAATACAGGAGTACATTCAGTCACAGCCGGTCACCTTCAGACTCTAGCTTCCCCAGCCTCTCAAAATACACTCAGTTTTCCATGTTTCCCTTCTGAAATCCTACACTGAGCACACCTTCCCTAACTGAACGACACCGCTGCCTCCATCAGTTGAAACCATCCCGATGTGTCGAAAGAATAGTAAATATGGCAGGCGACCAGCCTGGCTTAATGGTGAAATCCTAGCGGATCTTAAACATAAATAAGAAGCTTACAAGAAGTGGAAGGTTGGACATATGACCAGGGAAGAGTATAAAAATATTGCTCGGGCATGTAGGAATGAAATCAGGAGGGCC